ATATCGAATTTTACTTTATATTATTATTAAACGTTAATATAAGCTTTTATAATAACTCCTTAAAAAGAGTAAATATATTATTCTTATTAATCTTATTATTAACTTTAAAAAAGGCTTTATATTATTAAAATAATAAGTAAATAAATTTAATAATATTTTAAAGCTTATTAATAGGGCCCCTTATATATTAAAAGTTAAGATTTTTTTAAAGTTACTTAGTATTAATTAATATATCTAATTCTTATTTAAATACTTTTTTATTATTACTAAATAAAAAGGCCCTATTAATAAGGTTAAGAATATAACCATAGTACTTAATTCTCTAATTAAGAATATTTTTTTAAGTATAAGTATAAGATAATATAAGATATAAACAACTTAAATAAGTATTATTATTTAAAATATTATTATAAATAACTACTCCGACTTAGTTACTTAATTCTTAGTTATTTATTACTAATTTTATAATCTAAGTAATATTAGCCTTATTATAAGTATTATATTATTATCGTAAAGTAATAAAGTATTATATTTATTACTTAATATAGTTTAAGAAATAAATAAAAATAGTAATAATAATATTTTATATTAGTAAGGTTTATAAATTAAATAATAAATAAATTTTTATTATTAACCTTTAGATTTCTACCCTAATTATATTTCTTTTTTTAGTAAAAATCTTACTTAGCTCTTTTTTTATATTTTTATATAATAATAAGAGTTCGTTAATAATATTATAATTTAATTAATAAAAAAGGGCCCAGAAGTAAGGATCTTAAAAAGTTATAAATAAGTTATTATTATTAATAATATACCTAATTACTAATTCTTTAATTCTTATTACTTAGCTCTTTATAATAATATTAAAAATAAGTTTTTATTTTTTTAATATAGAGTCGTATTTTAAAGATTTTAATAAATATAATAACTCGCTAGAGCTTAGATTTATTATTTAATATTTTAATTTTAAATAAGTCGTTACTAAGCTCGTAATTATTATTTTAAAATAAATAATAATACTTATTTTATTATAGTAATAATAAAATTAAAAAAATTTATTTTAATTATTTTTATTATAAATCTTTTAAATAAAGACCCCTCTAAATAAATTTATAACTTCCTTAACTTTATACCCTTTTATAATATTAAATTATTATTAATAAAAATCCTCTTTTTTTAAATTATTTTTAAAAGAATAAGGAGGTTATTATAATTATTAAAATTAGTTAATAATATAAAATTAGTATTAGTTAGGGTTTATAACTACGAAGTAATCCGAAGTAGCTACTATATATTAAAAATTATATAACTTATTATTAATTAATTAATTATAATATAGTAAATTAATTAATATATAATTTAATTAATTTTAATAATAATTATAATAGTTATAAAGGGTTAAAAATAGTAATACGTAACTTCGTTAGTTTTATTAATATTAAAAAAAGGGGGTACTATAAGTTTTTTAAATTCTTAAATATAATAAGATATTAAATCTAGCGCTCTCTATTACTTAAGCTTTTTTTTTATAATAATTATTAATAATTTATTTAATTAAATAGTATAATACCGAACTTATAGTTATAAATAAAGAGTCGTAAGTTTAAATCCTACTATAAGTATTTATATTTTTAATTATAAACTTCTAGGGGTATAGTTAGGAATATTAATTTTTAATTAGCCCGGCCCCGGATTTTTTTTTTTTTTAAGTAATTTTATATTTAATTAAATACGTTAAATATAAAGCCTTACGATATTTAATTATTTAATTTACTAAAATTCTTATATTTAACTATTTATTTAACTTATTTGTTTAATTAATTTAAATAGGTATGTGCGCTACCTAGACCAAATGGATTAAAACTTTTAGTTAGGAGAACCGGGCTACGAGTGGGCGGGACGGAAGCCTGTGGGTAGAGGCGGAGCCGAAAGGCGGCTTGAGCGCGTCCTAAGCCACTTGCACCGAATCTCCGAAGGAGGGGTAAACCGCCGTGCGAACAATCGGGGTGCCAAAAGTAGTAGTGGATGGGCATTAATTCAATCCCACGGTTTGATTATCACGCAACTTGAGAGACGAAAGGCTCAGAAGGACCTGCGATTTATTCGAAAGCTTCAGGCATGTGTTAGTCAAGGATGCAGATTCCGTGATTCGACTAGCTAGCTAAGAATGGAAAACACGTGCATATCGCGTTGAGCGAAGTGTTAATGCACACTGGGAATATCGAACCGATACCTGTTTGCCACGATTGTTAAAAGTCAAATGCACGTCGCCAACATTCTCTTCAAACTAAGCATAACTTGTGCGTTTCATCGTTTGAACCATCTGGTCCCTGGAAACTGTTTATGTATGCCGTGCACGGCTTGCTTGCAACTAAGGTACGATGCCATTCAGAGATGTCTGGTCAATGTTTTGTCTCAGTGATGAGATTGTCTACTCGGAAATGATCACTAAATCTTAATTCATCAATATTGCACGCCAAACCAGTCAGTGCGGATTGCTGCCTAAGAGCTTCCACGAGTCTTTCCCGGATAGCCGGAAAGCAACTCACGGACATCGAAGCCCTCATACTGCACAGAGCACGTGGTTCATTGTGCAAGTGATGGTTGAAGAAGACTAGGCATGGATCCCAGGAGACCCTATATGTTTGAATCAAGTAGATCAGTGCTCTTACAGAATACTGAGTATTGTCTTCCGGGTTATTAGTTTAGGGCAGTGCTAACGATAGCTCCATGTGTTGCACAATTTTCCCCGAAACCAAATTTGCCCCAACGAACTTGTTCTAAAGTAACCTGTATCGGGACTGAAACAGCTCAGTAAGCTAGACCTCTGTTGTTTCGCGAGCTTATCCAATGAGTGCTCAGATCCGAGGTGTGGACGATTCTACACGAAATGTTGAGTTGGGTTCTTGGGCTGTGTCTTGGACTGGCAGGTCTTGGCCCCAACCTCACCCCACGTTGCTCTCCACCTAACTCAGTACCCTTGCAGCCTTATCAGATACGACACCTTGGCATGTTCTACCTTCCTTGCCTGGACCCTGATATATTGAGCATGTTGACCCGTGGCCATACGCAATCATACCTAAACTTGCCTCTCGCCGTCCCTCTCTTCGGACCCCCCCCTTGTACATAGTTCACCTGTCCTGTTATGGTAAAGCCACTCCTTGGAAGGCGTATGCATCACAACTTGACACTGCGGTCACTGAGCAGCTTATTGCCAATGTCTCTAGCAATATCACAAAGCTTATGCCATGTCGCTCATTAGCAGCATAAATGACATCAAGCACAAAAACCACTCCTCAAAATCGACATTGCCGATGCGACAAGTCTCAATTTCCAACGGATCCAGAGATCATCCACGGCTGCCTAGCTTCGCATATTGGAACTGTAGCCATTCTTCGACTAGGATCCAAAAGCCCCGCAAAAGTAGTTCCAGCCTGTGCAAGGAACACTCGCTGCACATTTGTCGATGCTAAAAACTTCTATCGGCGAAATCCTTACTTTCTCAATGCGGACCTCAAAAGCCACCTCCAAACGCCATCTTGACATTATTTCGATAACCGTTGAAGTTGGGCCTGGCGGTTTCAGGGGCTCTAGTTTGTTCGCCCGAGTTGCTTGTGGCGATAGTGGAAGTATAATCTACCTTTCAGGTACCTGAACTAGGGCGGAGTACCCTGCTTACCTTCGTATCTGCCGTCATACACTAAATATAATTGTGTGAAAAGTCTCCGCGGGCCTATCTTTAGATATTGAGCTCATTTTCCAAGTTCATTACTTATCTTACTGCACTCTAGAATCTGTCAACTCACTTCATTTCAATAGACTCCGTACCAATTTACCTCGTGTTACCCTGAATTTGTACCGATATTATTTATTTGAAATAGTATGCCGTACCTTTGGCAATCGATCGAGGTAGTCGGGCAATCTGATTGTCAACTTGTAAGTCTGTATATGCTCGGAAACTCCTTCGACTAAGCTGAGCTTACTCCTCACCACTGGATGGAGAAGTTCGTGTCATGTTTTATCGCGGGGTATCATACCAGATTGCCGGTGCAATTTAGGACCTGCCTTTGGCCACTCGTGTCGTGATAGGCACTTATGAGCTCACATTTTGCAACCGCGAGGTCGGACTAACCGAGGGGAAAAACCATCAGATAATTCAATTATAGCATAGTACTTATTCCCGACCAGTGATGTCTATTCAGCGGCCGTGACTTTGTTTGCCTACGTGATATGCATCGAACCTACGTTGCGGTAAGTGTCCTTTGGACCTGGCCAGAAAGCAGGCCGGTCTTGGCAATGAACGTCGTGATTATGACGGAAAGCCCACCGAGCAAACCACTCATCTGGTCAGAATGAACACCCAAGCGCCAGGGCTCGGAACTCAAGAAGGCAGTCATACCTGTTCAATTTCTATATATAAGTGTCAGCCAAGGGATCACAGACTCTTACTAAAGGCAGCCAGCTACCTTATGTGACATTTGTGATATTATAGGGTTGGCGAAAGCCCGAGTGAGCGAGCAATGCCATCTGACAAAACTGCTAAATCAAGGGAGAAGCTAATGGAGAGACATATTACCTGAATCGGAGTACCCCGAGACACTCAGACCAAAATAGAGACAGGCAAAATAAATAAATCTGGCCATTGTGATCACTCGTACTTAACCGTCCTCTTTTTCGGAAGGAATTCTTGCAAGGGTGCACCTTCACGCCGACTTTGGGCACGTCCTCTAGTCCCTTTCTCGGGCAATATATGCGCAACGCGGTTACTTGAGCTTTTCCCATCGTCACTCTCATCATTCCAACCATTACTTCCCTCTGAGACATTCCAACACTTCGACAAAGGGAAGTAGCCGAAGAAACGCCGCTGGCAGAATTTGGGTTCAGCTTCCTTTTCTAGTAGCAAATTCAATTTAATCAACAGTCGAGCCACGAACTCTATTGGAACACGCTGTCGGTCAGAATCCAGCACCAGTACCAGTAGTAGATGAGCCTCCTCCAGTATGAACCGCGCTCCCATCATCGTACCCATCTGGGAGTCTGCAGCGCCGATCAGCCTCCAGAGATCCCCAATCACAGTTCCCATCTGGCAGTCAACGCCTGTTTCGTCACATAAGCCATATCAGCATAGTCAGATAAACGCCGAACACATCGCAGATATCACTGGGAAACTTTACCAAGCTGCGCAATCGTCTATAGTGGCTGACGTCGCCTACTATGTCGGTCTATGGGAGGAGTTGCACGATTGTCATTGGAGTTACATGCGTAGCCACAGCACAGAGAAATCGGCTCAATGCTGGCCGGAGTTCATCAAGGGTAAGTTCGGGAACAGAACTGACGCCGTCTTGGAAATGATCTACCGAGGTCATGTCAACACAGTCAAATCAAGCTCAGAATGGAAGCTCTTGGTAAGGTTCGACCGAGTCCGTGACTGGCTCGGCCATAGTGGACCTGTCATGTTTCTTCAACTTGGCCCAGAAGTCGCGATTTGTTCAAAGGCCCTCAAGACAATCCTGAAGCTTCTCGATCATCCCAATGCGCCGACCTTCTCAGGTGCCGAGATCCTGGCTGAAATTTACAATGTCATGATGCAACGAAACGCAACGTCAGAGACACCAACTTATCCGACACTTCGAGACGTACAAGAGGCCCAAGGTATTTTGTGAAGTAATTCTCAACGGTCGTGATGCAAAAGACTGATACAATTCCAGCCGTAATCCTTCGGCACTATCGCTCATAGCCGTAGCGAGCTGCTGAAGATGAGCGTGTTGGGGTAAGACAGTCACTCAAGGCGATGGAGGAGGTTCGGAATTTCCCGAATCGCCGAATAGCGTTTTGACTCGATCAGAGAACCAAAGGGAACTAAGTTGGAAGGCACGAAGCCTAGCTGGACTTAAGGAATCGTCTGTACGCGAGATCTGGAGAGATCTAAGCCCAACATGATCCCCCAATGAGAAGTGCACATGCGAAATTTGAAAATACATTGAGAATCCAGACTGGTTCTGTCATTGTAATATCTTGCTGATGAGTGAAAAAGGTCGCTTGATCTTGATACAGCTTCACCAATCAGGCCATGGAAGTCTCTATTCTTCCAAAAGGTTACAGATCTAATATCAATGTTATGATTCGTGGGTCATGTGGATTACAACATGTCCAGACTTTAACTTGAACAAAAACGCAAGAGATATGTGAGACCACCTGAAAACCCAAAATTCGGTTACACGGCAAAATCACACCTGAGCTACAAGAAAGCGAGAATTAAAGCCACGAATCTCAATACCATCATGTTCCATCTGGTCTGGAAAAGACGTTCTTGCTTCACGGTCAACCCCAAAGTACGTCTCTCCCTGCGCGACCACTGCAGCCATTCTCTGCGCTTGATCCCTTTGGGCGGCTTGTGCGCCTGGAAAGTTTCATTGAATCTCACAGATCGCGGTGCTTAGACCTCTCAGTATATTGTGATCTCCAAAGTAATTTCATAGCGAGGGAAGATGCCGCTCAGGTGTGGAACTGGAAGATGAGCCATAGACTGCGCCGTGGTGGTGTTCAGGCTACTGCTCTAGTTGGAGAGTAATCTCTTCAATTGGAGAGAACTGAGCGCCTTCCCCGACTGAAGCATTTTGAAAGGTTTTAGTACCTGGAGCTCATAGCTCAGCTTCCCTTGCGGCCAACACTGATTTAATATTGAATATTGAATGAAGTTTTTGTTTTTCTGATAGCGGTATGCATTGGAGAGATTGATGTCGAATTTATGGGTGCGAGAAGACACCCACTGACTATCAGCGGATGTCGACCGCTCTTCAGACATGTCGCCAGAGGAGTGACTGATATTGGCCTCCAACGTAGCATCATCGAGTATGTCGAGTTCCTCAGTCTTGGCGTGGGCGCTTTCTGGGCATCGTAGGATGGCAGTCAGGGCGACGGATGAGAATGAGAGGGGGGCCGGGGACTGATTGCGACCAGCAGCTAAGTGAGCATTCTTCTTCGAGGACGGAGACTCAGGAACTCTGCTGGGTGACTTCAATGGCGCATTAGCATAAGATCGTGGGTGAAACACTAAGATGGCCGGAGGCGGAAAGGGCTTCAGAACTAGAACGCCAACCATTGTAATTGAGTCCGGGTAGGTTTGTTATTGTGAAATGTAGAACACTGAGGTGAAATACGAACACTGGGGATGAAATTGCAATGCTCATCGATACTGGAATTTTGAGAAGGTTTTCCCATCGCTAGGCTTCCAACTTTCCGCAGCTACATGGAATCGGACCTAACGCCATGACTTCAGTATTGCCGGAAAGTTGCGAAGGCTTGAACGCCAGATACATCACTATGGTTCCGCATCCAAGTGTTGTCGCCTTGAGCGCGATATCGATAGGTAATATCGCCCCAATGATATTGTCCATTACGGGATCGATTTTCCAAAATGTCAAAAGGAAGAAAGTCAAAGTCGTCTCCAATGGGGTTTAAAGATGCCAAAACCTGAGCGTCCCGCATGAACCGAGCTCTGAAGTGGGATGTCTCGAAAAACGCAAAGCCGTTCATTTTGCCAAGATCATCCTGTCCAAAGACGGTACCAAACAAGATGCTTAGAGAGAGGTAAAATAGTACGTGTAGCTGTGATTTATTCATTCTTGTCGTGGGTTGAAGTGGGCTGGCTACGCTGTAGTAGAAGATTGCGGTGGTTAGAAGAGTGAATGTAGCTGGTTGTACTACGGCAGGAAACTAATTACTCATGGAAAAGAGGACATACGACCCAAATGTAATATTGGCGCGGATGACCGGTTGGCGAGTGGAGATGATGAGCCCGTGGCGTGTCGCCAGAAAATAATACATGCGCACAAGCTGGACATCAAGATCGCTCGTTTTGGTTTGATATTGTCATACTGAAGGATTGGAACCAATGACTGTATCATGGCGTTGAGAAATGGTCATTTAAGCGCTTGTGTGTTTGAGTTTGGGGATATTGCCTTGTTGGGTTCAATGCGAAAACACATCTCCTCTAACTCTGTGGGCTCGGAAACCGCATTGTGCCAGTTGGCTCGGGTTCTTTGCCTTTGTATTGGGCACCCTGCAGGAATGCTCGTTTAGGAAGTGAAGGGTCGCTAGGTGTTGCACTTCCGTGAAGTCAGGATTAGGTTCTTAGGCTAGAAACGCCAACTTCCGGTTGGAGCATTTTGACGATCTGCCATGCCACACAAGCAGCCCAGACTGCATGCTTCAGATGGTTGTCAGCCTATGAGCTTGGGTTACATGGACCTCTTCTAAATTGGGAAGAAAAGGTCCTTGATACTTAGGTTTTACAAAATCGCGCGCTGACTTGGAAACATTGAACTGGCCTTTGTTTGGTGTAATTACTGTTGAACAATCAACTACGATAGAAGTTTTGTGAGGTATTAGTTCGCACGACTGCAAGTAAGCTTCAAATGAAGAGGTATTAATCAGGAGTTTCTTCAGCGTAGTTACAATAATGGGATGGAACCGCCAAACTCTCTCCAAGCACCGGCCACGGTATCTTAGCGCCATGCAGAACAGCCTCAGCTGTGTTTCCCCCAGTGCCTTCACCCCACCCCCATCTCCATTACCCCGCCTGCCCATCTGTTTTCAAGTCTAATCCAGAAACGGAGTTTCAATTACCTTCAAAAAGAATTCGAAAAACACGTATGTGGCTCGAGCAAGTGATGTTGCAGGAGCAACTGGAAAGATGCCATGGATACCTGCCATCAAATCGATCGAGCTGCACACTCCACTTGCCGCCATTTCCATCTATGTGGGGGCGATGTAGGCTTCGTAAGCAATTTCCACCCGAGGGACGTCAGCTAATGACGATCTCACTGGAATGCAGCCAGGTAACACAAGCCATGTTTGCAAATACTTTGGTATAGTGTGACCGTTGGTCACGTCCCGCGATGCATGCCCAGGCGACAGATGTGCAAGGATGCTTCACTGTCAAATTCTATCAAAAGAACTTAGTTCGCATAGAAATAAAAGAATGACTACTTGAGTCTGCTTTCAAATAAATGGGGCGGAGTCGCTTATCCCTGCGTGGACCAAAAAGTAGTTCATATTTCGCATGACCGGCACGGAGTTGGACCACCGCCTACGCCGCCATCCAACGGACCTGGAGACTGCCTGCTTTGCTTCCTCCATCACCATAACGCCATCACTCAAACGTATGCTGGCAAAGGGAAACCTCCTTTTTCCCGGTTATACCCTGCCTCTTCCTTTTCTCAAAGACGTTTCCAAATGTTTGTGTCGCATGTCGCTATGAGTATCATGGTAATCAATTAGCGACCGGCCTGATTGAAGGGCTTCTACCACCATTCAGGCTATGGCTTCATTGTAAATTGTCCATCCGACATCAAGCAGTCTGAGGGTGGTAAATACCTTTAGTGCCTAGAGTGGTCTAAGTGGAACTGGTGATTCGGGGGTCAATTAAAACGCAATTCGGCAATTGGCCAAAAAAGGAATAGTGGACTCCGAAGTTTGGGGCCAGGTACAGACTGCTTCAACTCTTTTCTCGTTGGGGCTTCGTATTGCGAACCTCACTTTTCAAGAATCCCATCGTCGACTTGAAAGACATTCACCTTCATGGGCAAGCGCATTATCTTTACAGGCGGTTCCGGCGTCGCTGGCCGCTGGGTAATCCAAGAGCTTCTACGCGAAGGCCACGAGGTGATGAATCTCGACATTGCCCCTCTCGACAGCCCCGCAGTTCATACGATGAGGTGCGACGTCAGCGATGCCGGCCAAGTGTACAGCGCGCTTCACTCGCAATTACGGCTCAGCCAGCCTCTTGAGAAGTCTTCCGTTCCTGATGCTGTCATTCACTTTGCCGGATACGCCCGACCTCTGCTCGCTCCAGACAGCGAAGTCTTCAAGACAAACGTCAACAGCATCCACAACGTAATCGAAGCCGCATGCAAGTTAGGTGTCAAGAAAATAATCTTGGCGAGTAGTGTCTGCGTCTACGGAGTCACGTTCGCAGAAGAACATCGGAAATTCATCTCGTTCCCGATCGACGAGGAGGTCGACTGCAATCCCGCCGACCCTTACGCACTTTCCAAGGTCGTTGGAGAAACTATTGCGAGGAGCTTTGCAAGTCGGTTCGGGGTTGATATCTACTGCTTCCGTATCGGAGCTGTCATTGAGCCTGAGAAGTATGCTGAAAACTTTTCTGCATACATCAACCAGCCGGAGTCTTGGGATGTCCACGGATGGTCCTACATAGATGCCAGAGATCTTGGCCAGATGTGCCATCTTGGTATTGAGAGAGACGGCTTGGGCTGGCAGGTCTTTAATGCGACGAATAACAACATCACAAACACCGAAAACACAACGGCGTTCTTAAGCCGCATTAGTCCATCAACGCCTTTCACTCGGGAGATGGGTGAGCGCGAGGCCCCGATGTCTAATAAGAAAATTCAGGCCTTGTTGGGATTTAGGGAGGAACACCCGTGGACGAGACACGTTCCCATCACCAAAAAGACTGTGTGAGAGACAAGTAAAGAGAATTGTGAAAACGAGGGTCATTAGCCAGCGGCGATCATGTTGCACCTTACGCTGATTTCTATTGCAATCCTCAATGGTAAAAGACTTCTTTTGGCTGTCTATAACAAGATACCATTCGGGCTCCTTCATGACGTCGCTATCCCCTGATGTCTTGAGATATCTGGTAGACGTCCGTTTCTCGGAATCAAGAACCCGCAAAGTTTGCCGGACTTATGCCCGAGTCGGTGCGGGGTTCACCCCCAACACTTATCAGCGTGGCTTGCTCCACTGCACCGCCTTCTAAAGTTCCAACAAATCGAATTCGACCTATTTTGATTAGTCGTTACTTTTCTGTGGAGAGGGTCCATCAAAAACCCAGCTTTCTCTTCGTAAACCAACATTGCGTCCATATTCTTTGATTGGGGGCACACTGATATCGTGAGGAAATCGGTCGGGCTCTACCCAGACTACCCCGCACCCCACGTTGACCCTAACCCTAACCCTAACCCTAACCCTAACCCTAACCCTAACCCTAACCCTAACCCTAACCCTAACCCTAAGCCCCGTGGGGTTTTTATAATAGTCGCGCGCGCAGCGGCCTCTCCTAGCCCTAACCGGAGGGTTAGGGTGCGGGGGGGGGCGCGCTACTATCTATGCTTACAGATAGTCGCTTATATGTACCTCTTTAGGTTCCCACGGGACTGTCTTGTCACATGTGGCAGGAAGCGGGAGGCTAGCGACGCATTCGGGGAAATAAGTGTCTTGCTCTTGCCCATGGTACATTCAGGATTCATGTATGCAGCATTCAACACTTCTATTCCTACCGAACTAACGCCACTCCAGATTCAAACCTGACATAATGTCTCTGCCTCATAAACTTTTGGAAGGCATGCAAAATTTAACTGACTTGAGCCAGAGAGACATGCTTATAGATGAAATTATAACACGAAGAATGTCATCCTGATGTTGATGAAAATGGATCATTGGTTGATGTGACACTGTGAATGCCTGGTTGGTATGCACACGAGGCAGAAGGGAGGGGTCGATGGATATTACCTCCAAGCTGATGCGGTTGAGACAGAGCCGGTACATCACTAGCTACACAATCATAACCCCCTGCCCTTGAACAAGACATCAATAAGATCAGCGAAGTATCACCAATCACTACTGATTCAGAGTAAAAATTTGCAATGGAAAGTCGTATTGAAGGGCTGTTGGCAAATGGCTATAGCCTTGAGGCCACAAATTGCAGGCATTGAAATTCGTCATTCAACCAGGAGGCTTGGAGATTGAGCTGAAATACGTCTTTGCCACGGTTTTTGATTGTATGGCTTGCAGTGCTAGTAACCCAAATTTCTTTTCTCTCTGGTACTATGGCTTTTTCCTGAGTGCCATTGAATCATGGGGGACTCTGGCCTTGGTCTGTCGGATCTCACCAACCCCCTTGCGATGTGATAGTGCATTAATCTGCATCCAGGGCTACGTATTACGGCTGGATGGCGGCGAAGTACATCGTCTCAGTTCGGACGTAGTATGACTTACCGTATCGCCTTCTGGTTTCCCTCTTCCTTGTCTTCCAGTTCCTCGCTGATGTGCTCAAAGTCTTTGCTTATGGCGCATCGGCCCAGAGAGTACGTCCACCTTCGTGCAGCCGGATTCATTAACAACGGGCCCAGAACGAAAAACCTCTCCTACATAACGCCTGGAGTCTGAGTTTTACAAATCTGTCGAGCTTCAAAAATTCCTAGCCTACAAACTGGAAAGCTTGCCAGTCAAATCCTATGGTCTGACCACCTCATGAATGACGATGAAGACGAATTTACCAACGGCAACTTGCGATCCATACGAACCACTCCTCGCATGTCTTCCACAGACTCACAACATTCTTCGAATAGTACATACAGAGTACGGGCAGACTGCGAAAATGAAGAATGGAACATCGAGTTACCTCAGACATTGGGTAGTTTTCCCACCAACATTCGTCAAGTTTGAGTTAGCCAAGCAGCATTGCAGCCAAGCAGCATTGCGGTGCGGAAAGAAGTCCTTGTCAGGTGGGACTTGCACACAGGGGTCTTTCTTGAAAGATTGCTATGGCATCTAATCTCTTAGATACGAATGTTAAACGTAAATTGGCCAGTCCAAGACCAGTGTACATGAGATACACCATCACACTCCATGGGTTTACGAGTTGAAAATGCTCGACGTCGCATAATACACATTACAAACAACCATACAATTCAATGATCAGTGTAAATCAACCAATATTCCTTACTACGACTTCCAGGACTTTATTTTAAACCTCGACTCCCGCATAGGTGAATACCTAGGGAGATCTGGTTGGTAATCGTTCCATCCTCTCGAAGAGCCTCTCGCGAAACGGGTCCATTAACGTGGATATCAGAAGATCAACCAACACAATGCAAGTTTCTGCGACTTTTGGTTGAAATTTCTGCATTCGTTCAATGTGGTGAGACCATCGCATTCATGCCCGTCACTAAACACGTAATGCAAGAATATTTCGATGAGAGGCCATGGTTGTAAGGACAACGCATCAAAACGTGAAGGGGGTGACATCACGCTGTGAATATTTTACATCAAGAGATACGTGCCCTCCATGTCTAGGTAGAAACCTGCCATGAATGAAGATGTTCGATCACTCCTGCCTACCTCCACGAAGTCCAAGTCTTCAAGACAAGGAATTTGAGTTGGAAATCTGGAGGCTATGTGATCATAGGAGATAATCTTGTTCTCAGGCGGGCACAGTCCCGCAACAATTACGATGCATCTTTCTATTTTTCCAAATATTTCCAACTAAGGGCGTGATCATGCGTCCTCCCCAATGTGAAAGGGTTCTCCTAATCCAATACCGATGTCTAAAGTACCTGATACTCTTGTACTAAAACCTTTACCCTGACAATCAAGTACTGTAATACATTTGTCAGTAAAATGTTTCACTCCAGGAATGGGTTTCAGCCAACACCACCCAGCCCATCCTGATATGAGAATTTAGGGTCAATGACACGCCACCAGCGTTCAGCCCGCCACCAGTGTTCAGCTCGACGCCAGCGTTCAGCCTGCCACCAGTATGAATTTGGTGCTGTTTTACAGCTGCAGAGCTGTCGCCACACCCTTCAGTTGAATGCGCCCAGCAGCATTGGTTGCCCCGCTGTAAGTCGTATCTGATAGGCGAACGTATTTGACTGTTAATCCATCGATATAGGTCAGACTGGCTAGATGGGTCCTTGGTAGCTGAATGGTAAGCCGTTTCTGACCCTGTCCTCTTACTATTGTTCCACTTCCTGCCCTTCCCTTACTATTGTCCATTTCTGGCCTTCCCGGATTCTGGCTCTGTTAACGCCTGGGCTTTGAGTACTTGCCGACGACGGAGGTAAGCTGCTAAGCCATATAAGCCACGGCTCCACACCACCACTATAAAAGATGTTATGTATGAAATTCCGCAAAAACCATTACGCCTTTTACTATACAAATCAAGAAACACGCTAGAGAAAAAAAGACTTGGTTAGGAGGAAAAGGGAAGATTTTTAACATTTATTAAATTAAAGAATTATTCGGCATTATTAAGTTAATCGCTATTGAAAAGCTCTAAATTATGCTATATAACACTAATACGATTTACCGTATAGCTATTTATACAAGATTTATATATAAAGCCATACTTTTTAAAGGAATAACCCTATCCTAGGCTAACCCTTAGAAGCTTAATCAATATTATCCCAGCTCCAGGTAGTATTGAAAATATTACTGTTTATCTGCTCCTCTAGGGCCATGATGCCTGAACCATTATAACCAATACCAACCAGCCCCAAGTCTAAATCCGCTGCATCCTGAGCTGTCGCTTCTATCTCAAAGTTATCTCCGACAAGTAGCTGCTCGATGGACTCCAAAGGGGAGAACGACTCTAAAAGATTCGTCTCCGTGGTTTCCTCGCCTGCCGGGAAAGTCGCGATAAAACCACCAATATCTCCAGTTCGCCTCGATTGATTCATCATTTGCTGCTCGTCCGCCGACAAGTCTACTTGTGCCAGCATGGTTGTGAGAATAGTCCACGTCGCGCTCCCCATCCTATTCAAGTTCTTTAACTTCTCCAATATATATAGCGCACATCCAAGCGCCTGAATCGCTCTCAGTCTGTGCGAAATCCATGTTCGGCTCGTATCACGAAGAAGAGCGGAGCATAAAGTCGATGCGGTGTCGAACGGACAGAATTGCACTAAGAAGTACTTGGAGTGGATTGGGTGGCAGAGGGTAAAGAACTCTTTGCTGATGCGCATGAGATGGATCGCCACTTGAATCGCCGCTTCGCGGAGACTACTTGCCTCGGTGTCTCTGCAATTCGGATGAGGAGGGCTCAATAAATATCGTCGTAAGTATGCCAACAGAGCCATGTATCCCATACAATGTAACTTGATCCTGCGAAACTTGTTCGCAAAGAGATCGCCGTCGCCGATCGCACCGCTCCCGATGGTGCTGTATACAGTTGGCAGGCCACGGATCCAATCATTGACGAATTGAATCTTGGCATGCGGGCTGTTCCCATCGCTCAAAGGGTCAGACAGAAATGCCCAGAGTCGATACTCGCGAATGATGATTGCTGCCGCAGATGTCTCCTCGCTTACGCTGTCTGCAAGTTCGAAACGGGGGTTTGGTGGGGGGACTTGGCCGAATTCTTGTATGATGCGTGGTCTGCCGAACGAGCCGGAGAAAGTCCTGAGCAGGTTACAGTTGTGGTGAGAATGGTCTTGGGGTCATCGAAATATGACAGCAGAGTACTTACGTGTCCCAGATGTTTAATATGTACCACATCCTCCGTCTCACTTCTCGTTCACACGTCGAGATTTCCTGCGCCGCGCTGTCGATATGTAGACCGATCTCCTGTGCTTCCCGGACGGCTGAACATATCAAATGCCACGATCTGGTAACCTCGACCCGATTCTTCAACCACCCGCCAGCAAGAAACAATCGCTGTATGAGCGGCAATCCACCCTCACCGGGTGGTATGAAAGTGCTTAAGCGTTGCGCAGCCTCATGCATACGCATCCCAAGGTGGTCGACCGACTCTCCCAGTTCGGATTCCAGTTTCTGATCCGTGGAAGGCCAAACGAATTGCGTGCCCAGAGCACACATTTGCAGTACTAGACTGGTAAGCGCCACGTCAGACATGGCTTTCGACGCTCGTCTCCCCCACCATGTTGCATAATCTGCGACGAAGGTGGTTTGGTGGATGGCTTCGTAGTGGTAGTTAACGTGGCTGAAGTAAACTGATATGAGGATATCTGTGTATGGTCGGGGAGGCACAGCTCGGAGCGCTTCCTGTATCTCTAGCGGAAAGTCCTTCGAGATGACGGGACTGGGGGAGTGGCTACTCGGAATGATGCTTGCAAAAGGATTGCTGTCCGTATAGCCTAGAGCTTTCAAGGCAGCTGGAATCTCGATGTTGCCAGTGTTGTCAGGATCACTTGATTCAATGCATGCTGGCTTCGATATGTGACATCTGGGCACTCCAGAGTTTGGGGAACCACTCTGCGATCCTGGTTCTCCATTGCCCGTAAGCGGCCTACCGATTCGAGATCATCTCAGCACGGCACACTAACAACACATCAGAAACAATTACTCACCTTTTTGAGGATGCCGAGATCCCCTTTTCAAGATTGTCAAACTGACACTGGTGTGCTACCCGCCTTGCGAGACAGTGATTACAAGGCCATTGTCGGTCGCATTTCCGCTTGAGCTTCCGGCATTGCAGACAAGCCGAAGCGACTCTGCCGCCTCGCCGAGCTTTGGCGCCTTGAAACCCCCGCTCTCCTGGCGACGAAAGCATTTCAGGATTTGTCTTCGTCAGCGGCGCCAGGTTCCAAAGTTGTGAAGTGTGGTAGGTAGGATGATGTTAGAAAAGCAATCCCGCAAAACTGCGGGGTTAAGATATAGCGTTCAGTCTACGATAAGCACGGACACCTAGATAAATAGAGAACTATGGGGCAATGTAGCGAGCTTTACGTCATATGTACAACTTTCATCCGCAATGGAGCGGGCAATACGCTCGTAGACGGACGACCCGACTAACTATGTCCAGGGAGCGTGGAGTGTTCTCCAGATTCTGGCAATACAAAAACTGGCATACGTGCCATTCCAAGGGCACTGATGCCTGTGATAGTAGTCCCGGATGACATGTTCATCTGACATTCACGCCTAGCCGCTTTCTGGGTTCTGTCCTCCATCGAACAGTCGAACATGTACTCCTCTAAGCTCACCTGGCTCGTCACAGGCGCCAACTCTGGCCTGGGGCTTTGCATAGTCCAACAAGCGCTCCGCCAGGGACACACCGTCATTGCCACAGCCCGATCTCTCGCCAAGTTTCCCGAGAGCCTTCGAGATGCTCAGAACGCTCATCTTTTTGAGCTCGAAGCCACTAGCTCGGCGTTCATCATAACGAAATTCGTCGACGACCTCGTCTCCCGCTTCGGCCATATCGACGTTCTCGTCAACAATGCAGGCTACGGCCTCTTCGGCGCGGTCGAATCGTTGACCGAACAGGATATCCGACGCCAATTCGAAGTGAATTTCTTCGGTGTGCTCAACCTCACCAAGGCAATTCTGCCGCATATGCGCCAACGTTGTAGCGGTACTATTTTGCAGATGTCGAGTTGTTCGGGAATTTTCAATATTGAGGGATCGCCTGTTTATACAGCGAGCAAACATGCCTTGGAGGGACTGAGCGAGGGCCTCGCTCAGGAAGTCAAGAAGTTCGGGATTAGGGTTCATCTTATCGAGCCGGGATACTTCCGAACGGGGTTTGTGACTTCGGCCCTAGAGACGAGGAAGGAGGGGAGCTGGATGACGGAGGACGGGTACATCGATATGAAGGCATATATTACTGACGCAGATGGGTCACAGCCTGGTGATCCTGTTAAAGCTGCTGAAAGGATCTTCGAGCTGGCGTCTTTAACGGGGATGGCGAAGGGATTGCAAGATGAAGTCAGACTAGTTCTCGGCTCGGATTGTCTAGACATGTTGGAAAAGAAAATTAAGCAGTATGAAAAGACTGTTCAGATGATGAGGGAAATTGCACCGTCGACGGATTACTAGCTATCATAGCGGGGAGATAATTGCATTAGCAACGCAACGTCATTGCCAAACAGCGTAAATATATCTTAAGACAGCCAGCATGGACCGCAGAAGAATGGTGGATTGCTCCGAGAATGACAACGTTGGAAAAGTAATAACAATAGAAGAAAGTGGACGGCTACATATGAAGACGATTGTTCATAGCTACGGCAAACTACCTATGTATATCCTACCAGTTGCGGTATGCCATCGATACATCGGGGTCAGTCTTCCCTAACAGCTAAACTTTCCAATTAAGTAGATTATACAGGCGTCATGCGGGCCAAGGCCGATGACAGGCGTTTGAAAAGCATGTACTTTAGGGATAGCTACCTTAGTTGTGAACGAGAGGGCCTCAATGCGCTTATACTTTTTTCATTGAAGGAAGTCTGTCGTGATGGCTTCAACCATCCATGGCCTCACCGCACGTCACGTGACCTCGGTTACATAATCACCGAGGCCCACTTCACTTGCACCCTCTATATCAGAGCGAGCTTCGTACCTATTTCCTATTTCCAATAGACAACCGTTCTCTTTTACCTACGTCGATGCCCCTATGGTGACCATACGACAAAGTCCAATTATGCTATTAATTATGTTGGGGAACCTATCTTAAATGTTTTAAAATGGCTCCTGGGCTCGAGGAAGGACTACCTATCGGGGTGCAAGCAAATACTTCCCTGCGAGGGGACATCCTATGAGCCATTGCCTTATGATGCGGGGTAAGGGGAGTTAACTCCGCATTCCAGGGGTCGCATCCGGCTTTGCGTGTCTTGGGCCTCGCAAAGTGGATTAAAAAGCAATAACCCTGGCTGCTATCCTAGGCAGTTGTTTGGTAGTACTTGAGATCTCGGCTAATCGTCAGGTTTAGCAGGCTCGTCCCATAGCGGTGTAGCGGCAGCACATCGGGTGATTGCATCAGCCTAGAGGCACTTGGGTAGGTAGAAATATTAGGGAGTTTCCAAAGAAACGCTCGACGGTCTAGCATCACACATGCCTCGCTCCCAAAATGTGGCTTTTTGCAACTTTGTCGACTTTGCTGTACGCCTTCACGCCTGGAACAGGAGTGGCGGCCATCGCTCAATCGCCACCAATTTTCCCATCGCGTGAGTTTACCACGTAACTCCCAATCCAGCAATGGCAGCCTGCTAACATGGTCCCGAACAGCGCTGGGTCAAGGAAAGGGCATATGGAAGAACGCATATGAGCGTGCGTCCAATTTAGTCAGCCAGCTGACCCTTGAAGAGAAGGTCAACATCACACGTGGCTATGCGGGTGATAATACTTGTGCTGGTAACACCGGATCCATTCCTCGTCTTGGGTGGCCAGGCTTTTGCCTCCACGATGCTGGGAATGGTATTCGAGCGACAGACCTAGTCAACTCGTACCCGTCGGCCATACATGTAGGCGCAAGCTGGGACAGAAACTTGACCTACCAACGCGGCTATTACATGGGGAAAGAATTCAAAAGTAAAGGAGGCATGTCCCCCAGGTTCAATGTTGCTGATAGTTTCGTCATTAACTGGTTTTCAAGTCAACGTTCTGCTAGGGCCCAATGCCGGTCCTCTGGGTCGTACTCCACTAGGCGGGCGGAACTGGGAGGGCTTCTCGGTCGACCCATATTTGGCCGGACAGCTGAATGCTGAGACCATCATTGGGCATCAGGAAGCTGGTGTGATCGCTAATCTAAAGGTTGGCTGTCAAGGAGGCTTGCTCACTATACTATGTCTACAATTCACGATGGACTAATGTGTGCCGGCAGCATTTCATCGGAAACGAGCAAGAGACTTTCAGAAGGCCATACTTTGGCGTGGAGGCGGCATCATCTAATATTGATGATAAAACTCTACACGAATTCTATCTTTGGCCATTTGTCGATGGGGTCAAAGCGGGAGCGGCATCCATTATGTGCTCATACAACAGGATTAACAACACATACGGTTGTGAGAACAGTAAACTATTGAACGGGATTCTAAAGACAGAAATGCAATTCGAAGGGTTTGTTCTTCTCGACTGGAACGCAAAGCATACACTAGAAAGTGCCAATGCTGGTCTAGATATGGTCATGCCCCTTGGGGGGAATTGGGGCTCGAATCTCACAAGGGCAGTCAGTAACGGAACCGTGAATGAATCAAGGGTAGACGACATGGCCACAAGGTATCTTACCAACATCCCATTCCCACAATTTGAAGATTACGTGTGGCTGACGTTCGTCAAGAATTCTGGCAGCTTGGTATCTTGTTGGTCAAGACAACGACTTCCCAATTCCTGGCATTGGCATGAAAAATCTGACTGAGCCGCACGATCAAATCGACGCCCGTGATCCTAAGGCGAGGCCAACAATACTCAGTGGAGCTCTTGCGGGCCACGTATTAGTGAAGAACGAAAATAATTCACTACCTTTCAGCGGGGCCCCGAAGATCATGTCTATATTTGGATATGATGCCACAGTACCTTCGACGAAGAATACCGACAAACTTTTTGAGCTTGGATACTACTCCTCCCCAGAGATGGCTCAGGCTGTACTGGGAACAGAGAGGCATTTCGACCAGGCAGCCAAGGGGGGGACCATTGTCAGTGGGGGGCGTGCTGCAGCTAATGCGCCTTCATACCTACTCGATGTAAGCACCATACTCTCCCAGGTGAGTGTTTTTGGGCTGACGGGGCTCTAGCCTTTGAGTTCGCTACAACATAAAGCCGCAATAGATGGCACTTGGGTCAATTGGGATCTGGTGTCTGGAGATCCCGATGTCAATGCTGCTAGTGACGTTTGCCTGGTTTTCGTCAACGCCATGGCAACCGAAGGATGGGATCGAGATGGCTTGCACGACGATTTCAGTGATGGCCTCGTCTTGAGTGTAGCTAATAAGTGCGCCAACACAATTGTGGTCGTTCATACAGCCGGCATTCGCCTGGTCGATCAGTGGATTGATCACCCAAATGTTACGGCTACAGTCATCGCCCATCTTCCGGGTCAAGACAGTGGGTCAGCCCTTGTCAAGCTCTTGTATGGTGAGGCTTCATTCTCTGGGAAGCTCCCGTATACTTTGGCGCGAAACGAAAGCGATTATTCAGTCTACACACCTTGTGGGAGGCAGGCCAACACCACCAGTCCCCAGTGTGATTTCAATGAAGGCGTGTTCGTCGACTATCGCGCCTTCGACGAAAGAGGCATCGAGCCAAGATTTGAATTTGGCTTTGGCTTGACATACACAGAATTCACCTACTCTTCCCTACTGGTCAAGACTCAGAATGTCTTGATAGGCGCCGCATCAAATAGCAATGCCTTGTGGGAGGTAATACTGAATGTTGAGGCATCATTCAACAACACTGGCAGTCATGCTGGCGAGGAAGTTGTGCAGTTATACGTCGCAATCCCCAACAGCCCCCCGAAACAGCTTCGAGGCTTTGATAAGGTGTCATTGGAGATAGGAGACAGCGCTACCGTTCAATTTGAGCTTACACGAAGAGACCTCAGCATTTGGGACGTTGTGGCTCAAGCTTGGACGCTTCAAGGTGGCAATTATACCATTTTTGTAGGAGCAAGCAGCCGAAATCTGCCTCTTCAATCCTCCTTCACATTGTGATTGAGTGGAACATAGCATACGTTAAGATTAAGCCAATAATAGCGGATCTCACGAATCACTCTCAGTTCCTACGACTGGGTCGCTATCGTCAAACATTATTGACGATTTTAACAAAGTTCTGTATCTCCGGCCAATCACTGACCTCGACTCGTGAAAGTCAGCTGAGACACTCACTCTTCGTAGTCGACTGATGTATTGCATGTGGTTTGGACTGGAATGGCCTCAATGTTCTGGGGACAAAGGCGTGGACACGATCGCTAGCTGAACGTATGTCTGGGCGATAGACAGAACTTATCGCGATTAACATGCGCAATGAGATATGAAAGGGGTGTTCAAAGCCCGGTGCGTATTTCCTGACATGCTTGGGGTAATTGAACTGGCTGAGTGTCAGACACCAGAGATATTGAAAAGTCCGCTCAATGCAACTAAGCTTTTAGTGGGATGCAATACACCGGAAAACTATCTGCCTGATTTGACACACAATCAAAGATCAGGCAGTCCAGCTACGTGCGCACGCCCGTGGCACGCCACGTATGTTTTACTGGCTCGGATGGTATCCTCAACAGTGAAGCGGGCCAAGGCGAGGCGAGCAAAGATGGTGCAAATTAAGGGGGATACGGAGCCTAATTCGGCTGAGCTTCTGCAGCCGAAGGCAAAACATGAAAAGTTTGTAGAACGGATGACTTATGGACAATAATCAGACCAACTCCGATCCGGGACATCTATGGATGCAAACAGGTACCTAAGCGGTCATCTAGTCAGGTTCTGACGATCAAGTCATTTTGCCCAGAGCCTCTCTGTTGTACCGGGCGCCTGGCTTATCGAAAGATACTTCCCTAGCATAGATCTTCCTACTATCTCTTGACTTCAGCAAATTGGCAGTTTGTCCGCCATTGAGCTGTTCATACTCCCATACTGAAGCCCACACTCTACATTTTGATATGAGAAGACGAGATAAACGGTTCTTCGGCTTTTATGTTAGTGTAAATGTACCTACCTATGTGAGCATATCTGACTAGGTCCGTTCAGAACGAGTTGAACCCCACCAATTTTACTAGGGAGATAGCGAAGTACTGTTTGAATAAAGGTTACTTTCAGTTAGGCAAACTTTAATTCCAAGAGATGATGTGAATACCCAAAGATTGTCGAAGACCTTGCAATTATTTGCCTCGGAATCCGACATGTCTCCAGGCTCGGTAGAGCCTAGGCCCTGAACGCCAATTCCTGGTGTACCGCGTGTGACATTGTCTAAGCGGCCTGTTACTTGCATCAATTTTTGAAGCCGGCCTCGTGAATTCGCGGCTTCCAATAGGTCGCAGTTTACTGAGAGGGTGTAAAGCATGCATCTCCTGCCAACATAGCCTGCAGGTATAGTGAGAATAACGCGGGGTAGTCCCCGTAATACGCGCCATTGGGAACGAATGCATGATTACTGCATGCGGACTGCATTCGCCAACAACAAATACAATGCATATAAACTACGTACGATTATTGGGCTCATGATATCCCACGGCACCTGATTGACGAATAGCTTTCCAGAGCAACCAATCGCTGCGCAGTTCGGTGTGAAAATGTCGCGAGAGCTTGCTGCGCTTCAACGTGGCACCCGCAACAACGGAATCGATAGGTGTGCTCAAGCTCGACCTGAGCCTTCTTAGGGACGAAATTTAGAGCCCAACGACAGAAAATAAGGGAAATTATCGAGGAGGGAATATAAGATGTCATAGTTGCGAGTAGTCATCATCGCGCCGTAACTCAGGAGCAAGATTTTTAAAAGCCCGTCGTGTCATCGTGCCTTCGAACTCTATCTTCCTACCTCCCTCACTCGATCCAGTAGAATTTCCATTAGCCATGGACACAACCGGATGGTCCCCAGCCTCGCCGCTTGATCAGCCGGGCAATCACAACCTAGAGGCCTTTGTGGGACATGCACAGGAAGTAGGTCCCGAGGTGTCGTAAGTTTACTCCGATATCCTACATTGGGATCTGGCGTCTTTGGCTAACGACTCTTCAAAGGCCATACGCAAGTCCGACATGCAATGTCTACTTCGAGAGTGGCCAGCCCTTTCGGGTGCCTAGCAACCTTCTTTGTCAAGAACTTGAGAACATACGTCTTCGAAGCCATGGCGAAATACGATTGAAGCATATACCAGATGATGCAGGCCATGTACTCATCCACTTTCTCCATACGGGATCATGGCAAACCTTGCGGGCCAAAGATTCCAGCGACACACCGAAGAATGCCAGTTATCTTGGAACCAGTCTATATGTGTATGCCGCTTCGCAGGCATACAAGATTCCACTGCTAGCCGAGCTTGCCAAAGAACACATTTCCCTCTCCGCTGAGACTTTACCTGCCCTGGAGGTTCTTTCTCTAGCTTCAGATGCTTGTCACTCTCTCGGAGAAGATGACACATGGTTCTCAGCATTCATTAAGCGACGTATCCGTCACCTATTCGAAGACTCATCTTCGTTGAACAAAGCCGGTCTCTTAGGGTGTTTCGACAACGCAACAACATACTCTAAGCTGTTAGTAAAGAGCTTGATCGAAATTTGCTGCGATTACTCGATTTCCGTCAATCCAAGCGAGTCTCAACCGTCGCCTCGGATTGGACCCACGGTCACGTCCAAGCCAGTTCCTGTTCCTTGGTCGGAGACAGCTGAGCCAGAAGTGGACCTGAGCGGTGAATTGACCCTGGAATCAGCCCTGGGAAACAGTCTGACATCGACCTCGAAGAAAGACAAGAAAAAGAAGAAGAAGGCTAAGAAGTTGGACGAGACCCTTGCTGAGTCTGACATGGCGAGTCCCAGAGATGCTGCAGAGTACGTGACCAACGGCCGGCATTGAATAGTTGATAGGCGGTCAAGATATCAAATTGAAGTGCATCGTTCCCAGATTTAGAGTCTTTGTCTGAACCTCTCTCGTGAAACTCTAATGTCCGTTGATATGTATACTCAGCTACCCTAATGGCCATGGCGGGTCAGTGCAAAACATCGAGTCTAAACGTATAGTAAATGCTAAAGAGTAAAATAGACATGATTATTTGAGTCTGTTCCCTTCACTGCTGAACATACTACTAGCAGACTAATTTGACGGAATGGGATCAATTGCAAGTGATACTACTTCTTTGCTACAATAATGACAGGCATTATCACACGTCGTGATCATCGTTCCGGACATGAAGCTTCTTCAGACAGAAAAATCCACCATCGCCTTGCATTCGCACCTCAAAGGAATACGAGAGACACTCTGAGATGTATGGCCTATGTTTGGTCTTCCGGATGAAAAACAAGAGCTCGAACCTCTATGCTTTCTCTTGGTGGTGCATCCGAGCTTGCCGTTGGATCAACGAAAGCAGTGTGAGGGACTCTTCTAGCTCTTCCGTCTGTCTTGCTGTCGAAGCACTTAATGAGAATTACTTCGTTCGGTGTGAGACCATCTTTGTAGTACCACTTGTGAGCGTTGCTATGTCTCACTGCGTATGTCTCTCCTCGCCGATCAGGGTAAATCAGTTCGGTTACGACTAGATCTGACTCGGCGACAGACCTGGCGTCCGCAATGGCGAGTGGGTCTCGTTGAACTGTTTTGATGGGCCTCCAAACGTTGATGATTTGTACTCGACCTTTGAGCAACTTATCGGCATCATCTGGGAGGTGGTGAGGAACCCGGGAAAGAGCGGCCTTGTAAGATTGGTCAATATGAACTCTTTGCACGGGTCCGCGAGCTGCTCGTCCTTGTGCTGCTGTGCCAGGTAGCTGCCGGCGAATAGTATGGTCAAAGATAAAAACGCGACTAGCACCCGTCCTACATATAACTTATTAGCTGAGACGACGGCAAGATAGGATTGGTCCCGTGAAGTCTTTCCAAGGATGCCATACTTACACCGCTTTTAGAAGTTCTTCAACTTCGGCGTAGTAGGACGACCTGATCTGATCATCGTCTTGAAACTGCTTTTCAGTCGACCAGCTGTGATGGATTTGAAACCCATTTACATCGAGAGAAAACTCCTCTTCATCGCCTGTGAGGTCGCTGATCGTCACAGAGTGGGATTCAAATGGCCGGTCATATGTCTCTGGCCTGTCAACATATGTGGGATGCGGAGGTGATCCATCCTCGTTGTCTTTGTGGTAGTTCAGTGTTGCTTCCACTCCCTTGCGCCTCTGATTCGACTCGCGCAGATCATTCGCTCCGTGGCGTTGAGTGCGTTGAGGAGAGCCCAGCCCTGCGGAAAAAAGGACTTTCCGAACCTCTACTGCTGCCATGCTCGGTTCTAAGTGGGATTTGTAGTGGTACTGGAGTCATAGGGATACATCAATACCAGCGATACGGGCAGCTCAAAAGGTGCAGCAAAGCTCCAACTATAAATCATTTTGTACCAGCCATCTGACCTTTACTCTACCCTAATTCCACATGGTCTCCTCTGGCACGCGATATTTGTCCAGTCATGAGCAATTTGTGGATTGATAATCAACCTCAACCGAATCACGGGGTGTAACCATACCCCAGCACCAATTGGTTCAAGGATTGACAGTGAAAGAAATGATATGACACCCATGCGGTTGTGATTTCAAATCCGCATGGGCATCGCCCTAATTAAGCTCGGTCAAACGTGCCTCGGCCCAGGTTATGGTTGCGGAGTAAAATGGTGTCATCGTTGTAATCTTCCGCATTGATAATCACATATCCTTGCCAGTGCGCCTCATTTGCTGTAAAGAGACTCTTAGCCATTGCTTGGGAGAGATACAAGCGGTAGTAATCCTTCGAAAGCGATTTCCAAGCAAACGTTGGAATCGACACTGAATCATAGGTTGAAGTACAATTTGGGTGCGCGAGGGAAATAAGATTACGCTTATGTGCCTAAAATTCGGCAACTTACGAAGGTGTGGTTCTAGATCGGTTTCTAAGTATCTATATGGACGAGTTTTGTGATTGTTGTTCCATCACTCAGAATCTCTTCTGTTTCCTCAATCTTATAACCTCCCCAACGCGGCAAAGCGACTGTCCAGACATACCAATACATTACTCCGGCTGTGAGACTGGTAGATAGCAGCATCAGTCTCAAAAGATCTACGGTCTAGTCAGAAGTCTCACTTACATGCTCACACCAATAATTGCATATGTGGCGTAAAACAATCCGTTTGGTGGCTTTGTATCCGGCGGGAAAAAAGGGGCCGCAAGTAATGCTATACTCAGGCCGATTCGTAAGATCACAGCTGGAACAAATGCCTTGAATGGGCGTTTGATGTCGGGACGTTTGATGCGAAGCCACAAAAGCCCTACTGCAATGGCCAACGCTAGAATTTGACCAGGATAGCCTTCAACTTCCAGGATAAATGAATAAACGTCCCTAGAGGGAGGCAGCGTAATGACCAGAAATGAAGGAATGTAGTGAACAAAGAGCCCGCCTAGAGGTGAGTTGAAGGGCTTTGTAGATGACAGTATGTCCGAAAACGGAAGAAAGCCTTGTCTGGCAATTTCTTGTTTTGTGCGCGCCTAGAGTCATCGTATAAGCACAGTATCCGCAACAAGCTGGCAACACAGAGAGATCCTACCGCAGAAAATGCGACGACGAGAACATTCGCTCCTGCACTCAAAGCAACTGCCAGAGGAAGGATCCTTTTGCCAACTCTCTCACCGAAGATTCGTTCAAAGAATAGGGCCGCTATCAGCTCGCCGCTCTGCTTTATCTCATCGATGGGAACAACGACAAAGTATGCTACATTGATAAGTGCGTAAAGTCCGCACGCGGTAATCAATGCCGCCATCGTCACAGATCGCAAGGTCCGAACTGGGTCTTTGACCTCATTCAGGACGTAATTGGCATTGTCAAGCCCCGCGTATGAATAGAAGACTTTGAAAAGGGATGTAGCAATTACACCCCAATTCCAGTTGGTGTTTTCCCACATGTCTCCCCATCCAAGCACTCCAGTGGTTTTCTGGGCAGATTCTTCCGTTGATCGGAACAAGACAACGTAGACACCTGAGAATATCATGAAGACAATCAGGGCAACCTTGATCCAACCCAAAACATTTTGCAGCCTGATACCGAAGCGTGGGAAACAACCATGAACCAGGGTAACGAATGTGAGGAGTCCAACTGCAATACCTTTTCGAAGGAGATCACTGGGGTTATCGCCACCCAGTGCAAATAACAGATATTCGCTAAAAACGATGCAATTGCTCGCTGTAAATCCCAGAAGAACGGCTTGGATGGCGATGAGGGTCGATGCTAGGAATCGAGGTCGACGATACGTGAATTCTAGGTACACTTTGTCTCCCCCAGACCGTGGCAGCATCGAGCCAAACTCTAGGGAGATCATCAACCCGCATGCAGCAATTATTGCGCCAACAATCCAAAGCGAGAGTGACAGACCGGGGCTCCCAACTGAGCGAAGAATTGCGCCCGGAGTAGCAAAGATGCCGCTGCCTATCACTCTTGAGATGACAAGAATGTAGGCGCTTTGCCAGGTCAACGTGCGGCCGAGTGTCGATGTCTCTGGAAGCACATCGTCTTCAATTGAGCGTGATGGGTACGTCAGCCCAGTCCCAAAGTCTTCTTCATTCGGCTCATCAATTCTGGTTACGAGCTGCTTGGTATCTGAGCTGCCTGAAGTCGACAAGCGTCGTGGCGTAGATGGGATCAACGGCTGCAACTCCGGGGCATCGTGGCTACTCATATCGCTGAGTGGTGTCGCTGGATCGATACCGTATGAGAACGCGAGTTGGGGTATTACTGAACTAGGCGGTAAGAGCGCGCAAACCAAATGTAACGGACCCAAGTTGGCAGCCTTCGTGGAACTTCAGTTGGATATATAATGAGTATCAAGATAACGTTGTTCACCAATGAAGTCAAGCAATAGCGACATATCCTGTTGACATGGTTCGGCTGTCCGGCTTCCCGGTAAAGATACGCGTTTGACAGGGAACCTGGGCGGTGTCATCGGCCTCAGGCGCGTGTCCACGGACAGTGATGCTTGATAAGAATACGGGTACATTCTGTCTTGTGAGGCGTGTCTCTCATGGCGTCATGTGTTTCAAAACGTAAGTTTCGGTCACAGGCCTCACCCAATGCCCGTCCTGTTCTTAATACGGATTCGCACGCCATCATTGCGCAACCTGACGAAAATTGGGGGTGTGATTATTCAAGATGGCACGTGAAAGGACCCAACCATCATTGCCCCAACTGAAATTTGGCCCCCAATCTGGGGTTCCGAACCCCGGGTGCCCGGCTACGACTCCGCGGTAGCAAACTCCGACACATACATAAACGCAAGATCAATCTCTAGGAATGCAGATGCCAAAGCGCTCGCGTTTGGTTTAACTAATTCTTATTAAAGTTTCGGCATTGTTACTTGACGTGTATCTGAGATAGATCAGTGAACACTAAGCATCAACCTCCCAGTCATGCCGAGGAACCTCACCTTAACTCGAACTCAGATGCACCAACGAAGAATGTTATTCTTGTTCTTCGCTATAGCTGTGACGCCTATTATAAGTCACTCGGTATACTTTTGTTGTGCCTGATTTCCGATTGCGCCAGCAATGGGTGGTCATCGAAAAGCTTTCTTAGACCGGAGTAACTTTCAGTACTGCTTAGTAAGAGGGCTCAGTACAAATTGCAAAATGATATTGCGTCGGCGCAAGAGGTTGAGCCTCTTCAGCATATCTCAAGTATCCCCAATGTACGAGAAATCACCTTGCCGATTCGACACACTTGATTTGAAAGCAGCTCTACCAGCTTTTGCACCAGAGCGCTTACTGAATTTTCGATTCATGACGTTCAAAAGCTGCTTCGTATGAAGAGATACCAAGTGGGGACGTCATTTTTCCATGAGGACAACACCTCAACAAGAGGATCATCTACACGAACACTCAGCTCGCACAGCTCTTGAGGGCCTCAGAAAGATAAGAAAATCTCGTAGACCTATGGTTCCACTTAACAAGCAAGAAATCCAAGGTGCGGCTCAGATCTGTGCCGTTACGGGCTAGCCCTGATGGGTCGGATCCGGATTGGCACCCATATTCTGCCGCAGCGGGCCGGCGAAGGATCTATTCCAACGCCCTAGTAATAACCCGGTTTCTAATATTTTCCTCTTCGCCTTAGATTTCTATACAGACGTTACCGCTTGTTGCTTCACTTGGACTAGGCTCTTGAAATTCTCTTGACGAGGCCTATGGAGCCTGGAGACTTGCGGCAACTCCAAGTCATCTGAATGATTCGTATACCAAGTAAGTACCCTACCTTGAGGGCGCCTTAAGGGAGGTATCTACCGTTTTAATGGATCGACTCCAAGCTATCCTTCTGAGAGTCAGAGACATCTCATTCGCCGAAATAGAATTCTCCTCCAATTGTTGTGCAAGTGAGAATCCCTGGAAAGACTTGAAGCGATTTGAAGGTCGAGATATTCCAGATTCCATTGAATCCTTGTCGAGTGTTTCGTGCACGATACGCGCCCTTTATTTTCGGCTCACCTATTAGGCATTAACCTGCTGCCAACCCTATTCAGCTACCTAACTATCACTAGAACAAGACTTGAAAATTTGGTAGTCTAGGATGGGTACGTACAACGCCCTGCTGCCGCTCGACTCATGGCTATGACAAGGCATGAACACATCAAAGAGGGGATAATCACAGCAAGTGGTTGTGTATGTACTAGGACTGAAAGGAATCGTTTTGAAAATAGGTGCATGTGAGGCCTAGTGTGGAGAGAATTTACCTAAGCCGCAACCATCAACCGCCCCTAATTCAGCCCGGTTTTACTAGCACGAAGCCTCGCTGATCCATAGCTTTCAGCCGCGCTTAACTAAAACTCCTTCCACTATTGAGGGGCTACTTTATCTTACAAACTGTGGAGATGCAGGACCTTGGTCCCGCTGCTAACCAGCGCTCGTCAGCACTACCAATCCACAAATCAAGTGCGAAGTACAAACGTGGGGAGTGTGTATTTCGGGAGGGCGATCTCGGCGCCCCTTTCATAATCTTCCTTCGCCGTATTTCGCCAGTGGCTGTATATGAAGCATGCCAAGACTGTCTTTTAAGCTTCTTACTAGAATAGTCTCGGCTTTTGATTTGAGCCCTATGAACACTAGGGGCCCAAGATCAGGTAAACAAATTTCACAAAAGGGGGGCCTTCACTTCATAAATGTTGAGGATCTCCCGTATTTCCTGTTGCCAGTTATCCGTGAACTTATTGAATAAGCAAAATGGAGTTTGGTTCTGGTGGTAGCTTGCTTCCTAGCTATCGAAAGCCACTTCCAAGTGAGCAGGTCGAACGTATGACCTCAGATACCCGGCTTCCTCTGGCTTCTCCCTCATCTTCCCCCAGCTTTACGGCTGCTATACATCCTCAAACCCCCATTTTCCCCTCTCAATCTGATCAAGCCTCCCCAGAGCACAACACAATGAAGAATTGGGTAGAAACGAAGGCTTCGCCAGCGGCAGAGGGACATCAGATCCCTGAGAACATCGACGCGCCACCATTGCCTATGCCACCCATTGTTGTAGCTCAGCACCGGAAACGTCTTGTCTGGTGGGCCGTTCGATACTGTGTAATTGTCGTCGTCATCTTCGTTGCATTTCTTATTCCTCTCCTTACATTGAGCAATGATGCAGACTTAGCCGACGACTCCACTCCACAATCAATCCAGGACAAACAATACCGCAACCTGGTTTTTTACATCAGCTTATGGCTAGAGGTTACCTGGGTGGCAGCCGTTTTCTTCGATCTTCTGGGACTCGGCTTGCCATATCTCTTTAGGTTTCTTGCTAGGTCAGTGCACGAGATACCAAGAAATCTATGGCCAGGCGCTTAAAATGATTCCACCTAGATACATCAACTCTTCCCACCAGAGGTACTGGAGAATCTTGAAGTTCATGCGTCGCCCGATTTGCTTTCTAGGCACGACTATTGTAACCTTTATCTTCTTTGCTGCTGTAAGTCATATTCATTCAAACGCAGTTTCTGTGGCGATTTTAGTAATTGTTGTCATTCTAGTATATCAACACAAATGAACTCCTTGCTGTAAATGTCAACAAGGATCCGAACACATTTGGGTGGGACGATGTTGTAGCCGACATTTTGGAACAGGCTACTCTTTGGGTGGCCTTCTATTTTGTCGAGAAGCTATTGATATCCTACATCTCCGTACATTATCACTATCGAGCAAATCACTCCAAGCTTACTCGCACGAAAGATCTCCAGAACGCCCTTATCACACTTTACGACGCATCGATATACCTTCACCCTTTCCATCGTGGCACATTCGACGACGAGGATATGATCATCCGCAATGCCAACGGCGGAAGCCATAAACAAGAGCGAATGAGGGTTTCAAGCTACCTTGCTCGACTCGGCCTTGATGGCTACAAGCTTGTTGGACTATTCGGAAATTTTATTTCCGATGACCCTCATGCCCATTGGATGCGTCCAGCAAGTACCTATGCTATCATAGAGCGTGCTTGGGGAAATGAAGACTCGGCGACTGCACTTGCAAGGCGGATCTGGTTTTCGTGTGTTGCTCAAGATAAGTTTGGCTTGACTCTGAATGACATCAAAGAAATCCTTGGTCCCCACCGCACGCCGGAAGCCACCAAAATCTTTGCCACCTTGAGCGAAGGTCAAAACCACGACATCCGCCTTGAGGAGTTCATGGCGATCATTCTGGAAGCAGGCAAAACGCGCCAGGACATATACCGCAACATCAACAACATGGACCATTGCATTAACACTTTCGACTGGTTTTGTCTCTTCATCATTGCCGCGGTCATGATATTTTTCATTAGTAAGTCCCTCAGTTCGTCCCTCAAAAGATGTCTCTGACAACTTGCACAGTGATTGCATACGTACCAGCGATGAAGGAAATTCAGAGTGTCTTGTCTTCTTTAGCTATTGGTCTCTCATTCGCTGTTGGTCGGACATTCCATCATCTTCTTGTTGGCATCGTCTTTGTTTTCTTCGACCACCCTTACGATATCGGCGACGTCATCAACGTCTGTAACGCTGGCGCAACTATAGGCATTGCCTGTACGGTCAAACGCCAGTCTCTTCTCTACACGGTCTTCAGACGACTTGACAACAACTGCGACTTGCAAATTTCCAATGAACAACTCACTCAAAAACGAGTCGAAAACTACACGAGGTCTGGTATCAATCGTCAAGGATTGTCCTTGTTCGTGGATTTCAGGACCAGTTTTACGGATATCATGCGTCTTCGAGGCATACTGGAGGAGTTTCTTGCCCAGAACTCTAGAGACTATGTTCCAGAGACACTAGGGTTGAACGTTGCAAGCCTTCATGAGCTCAACAAAATGGAGCTGAGAATTGCCTTCACCCATCGCAACAATTGGTCAGACGATAAACTCCGCTCTCAGCGGAGCAACAGATTCCACTGTGCTTTGGTATCTGCCTGCCGGTCTATTCCCCTTTACAAGCCAGGTGGGATGTCTCCGTCTTCTGGCGAGAACGGAAATCCCATGTATACCGTTCAGCTGGATACCTCAAATGAGCTACAAGAGAACATCAAGAAGGAACAAGCTCGCCGACATGGCCTAAGGTGGGACCGTGTCGAGCAAGCAATCAATCAGGTCCAAGATCAACAGCATTCCAACGATGCTGGGGATAGAAGGGTTGAAGAGGAGACTCAAACAGACAAGGCAAAAGAACAGGAGGCTTTTCTCAAGTTGGCAAGACTTCCAATTGGGAACGCAAGAATGGGAGCCAGCACTGGTGTAGATTTGCCGGCTCCTGGGACAGGCTTGCGCCAATCAAGTCGGCCT